CGATATCGGCAAACATCGGTTCGTTACATGACTCCGGAGGGTGCGGCCGATGGTGCATTAGTAAGTATATTCCGTCTAAACATACTATGATTTATTACTTGGTTCCTAAATCTTTTTCTAACTTTTTTTTTTTTGGTGATTTAGGCTGATGGGATCGAGCGGATCAAAGATATGACTACCGGAAGAACTGAGTTGGGCAATGAAGATGTGAGCTTCATCAGGAGGATGGCAAACAGTCTACTTGGCTGTATAAGAGCTCAGGGCCGGGATCATCGTAGATATCTGCCCGCGCCCGCACCCCCACCACCTCCGGTACAACTTGATGTGCCCGATCCCCCACCACCATACGAGAGAAAGAAGAGCAAGAGGGTTCGGTAAAGGCCCAACGTGCCCGACGTAACGCCATATGGGGGGGGGGGGGGAAGTGCCGCCCACATTGGTTGTGACACATGGTGCCGAACCAAGTTCCACCCAAGCTGTCGGACCAAGTTCCACCCAAGGTGCCGGACCGAGTTCCACCCAAGCTCCCCGCCCGACCTCCGCCCCATCTCCCCGCCCGACTTCCACCCAAGATCCCCACCCGACTTCATCCCAAGAATTCCGCCCCTCCTACCACAACGATCCCCACCCAAGCTCATACTACGATCCCCGCTCGACCTACCATCAATCCTCTCAGAGTTTCCACCAATCCCCATATGATCCCACCCCGATCTCATACAACGATCCCCGCCAAATATACTATGATTCCCGCCCGGTCTACCCCCCATCTCCTCGCCAAACATACTACGATTCCCGCCCTATCTACCCCCCATCTCCCCGCCAAACATCATCTTGGACTTGGCATGATGGCTCCTCCACGACAGGCCAACACGAGTTCAACCCATGGACTCGCCCTCATCAGCAGTGGCCTCCTACTCCTCACCGTATGAGCGCCAATGTCGCCCGCTCGACCCCGGAAGTGCCGCTTCCCCATCGACATAGCACCGAAGAGCGCCACACTACCTCGGCCGTTCGAAACTTGCCACCCCAACCACCTGTTGTTACTCCCGTCGGCAAACGTACAAGGAGCAAGAAAACTGTGGGTTCCGGTGAAGCTCGTGGACTTCCTTGAGATGTATTTTGAGTTGATTTTTATTTCTATGTACTTGGAACTATTCCCTTTATTTTATTTTATTTTATTTAATTGAGTGTTGATCAATTTGTTATTATAACGATTCCTCTTCACTTGATATAATCCCGATTCGTTCAATCAACAATACACAATTAAATGCAACGTAAGAGTTACAACTAGCTTGAAGAATGATAATCGGAAATTATGTCGCATTAGCTGAGTCCGGCACATCAACACCCGGATTTTGTGGACCAATCGGTCCTGGACACCTTCGTTTATCATGTCCTGGAACTTTGCATATTGAACATCGTCTTGGGCCTCGTGGTGGTCTTCCACTTTAATCCATTTTATTCTGAATTCTCTTTTTCCTCGGGCGACCCGGTTCACGCCTCTGTCCGAATGGCGGGACGATCAATTTCCCTTCGTACAGCGGCCAATAAGCTTCATCAGGCAATGCACGGAAACTCCGTCCATAGGTTTTTTTGAGTGAGTCGATATTGAAGAATGGACTAACGAAGTGATGGGGGTCTTTGCTCCTGTTTTCAATTACGGCCATTGCATGAGAACAAGGCCACCCTCTCCCCTGATACTTCTGGCATGAGCATTCACCAACTTTGGTCCTGAAATTGACCAAAACTTCATGACGGTGGCCCCCCCGTCTACCATCCTCCCGATGTCCGGTCGTCACGCTATACTCACCAGTTGCCCGATTCATAACGGTTACACTATGTCGACTGCTCTTGCGATTGTCATTATCCATTACTTCAGTGACTTTATAGGCATGGACCTTTCCCTGTGCCTCGTTCGTCCTTGCCCAGTGGAGTCGGTTCACGAACCATGCATTCGTTTTCCAAAAAGTCATTTCCACAATGGCAGAGATTGGCAGTGAACGAACGACCTTGTAGACAGAGTTGATACTCTCACTTGAGTTTGTGGCAATACCCGATCTTTTCCCTCCATCTTTATGAAATGTCCACATGGATAGATCGTGTCCATCCAGCCACTGTGCCCCTTCAGGGCATAACTCGCGCATCTTCTGCAACTTCTCCTGAAATTTTTTCTCCTGGTATGCAACCGCTGAATAACACACAGAAAAGTAGTACGTTAGTCAATGATCGTCAGTTTAGTACAATTTCAAACAACCCGGTCATACTCTCATTAGACCCTTAGGAGAGGTATACATCTCCTTAGAAACACAACCTGTTTAACAGAAAAAAGGGGGATCCGAAGATCGCTTAAAACCCGATTTTCCCAGGAAATGGGAGGACCATGATAATCGCTTAAAAGCCCATTTCCTTAGGCATGCATCTCTTTAGAAAGAGTCTAACAAGTGAACCACTCTCCATATTACAAGATATTGTTAATTGAGAGCAATAGAGAGCTTACGAATCCACCACAAATTATCAGCAAGCTTCTTCCGCTTGAAATGATGGTTCTAGTTGCTCTTGAAGTGTCGTATGCACCACCTTTGGGACCAATTCCAGGTTGGATCCAAGCCTAAGATGACAGCTCTAATGCCGGCGTGGCGATCAGAGATTATTGTCAGGTTCGTCCTCCTAGTGACGTGGAGCTGAAGTTGTCGAAAAAACCATCCATAGCTATCAGCATTCTCTCCCTCTACAATGGCGAAGGCTAAAGGAAAGATTTGTCTTTTTGCATCCGCCCCACTGGCAATCAGGAGAGTGCCCTTGTACTTGCCGGTAAGGAATGTACCATCCACTTGGATCATAGGGATACAGAAGCCAAAACCATCAATAGATGGCTAGAATGCCCAAAACAGTCGGCTGAAATGGCATTTGTTACTGGCTCTGGGGGTTGTATCTCTTCATCTTGGTATCGAGGGGAGAAAACAGTGCCAGGGTTAGACGCCTCCAATGCCAATATTAACCTTGGAAGGAATGCATATGATTCTTCCCAATCACCAAAGACGGCGGCCATAGCTTTCTGCTTTCCATGCCACACCTTATTATAGTTAATCATATAACCATAACGACTTGCAATGTCAGCGATTATGACTTTCACCTTCAGATCCGGTTCGGCCTCAATCAGATGCTTGATAGCCGCATCAACCACCCTGGATTTCAACTGTCAATGGCCTTGGGAAGTTATGGATGACACACATGTGTGTGTGTTCACCGCACGGGATATGACCCAGTGGCCGTGTCTCTTGCTGTTGATGGCCCGAATCCTAACATTGCACCCCTCGTGATGATTACGACATCTGACTATGAGCCTTTTGGTGTTGGAATGAGTTGTGTGCCATTCAAAATGCCGAGTCATTGCTTCAGTCTCAATGGCGTGCCGCACCTCCTTCTTCGAGCCAAATTGTTGGCCCTTCGTAAACCCAGTGAGTGGGCCCCATATTGGGACCTCTGGCGGCTCCATGTCACGGTCGACCATCCAATTGTCGTCTGGAATGTGATTGTAGTAGGGGACTGGTACACGGTCAGGAGCCACATCATCATCATTATCTGAATCTGACTCTGGTCCTGAATCATCAGCACCTTCAAGAGGGTCGGAGCTGTCTGCACTGACGTTGCTCTCTCCTTCTTCATCGGAGGGGTCGCTGACTGGTGCTAGCATGGCAGCTTCCATCTGATCCATCTCATGAAAGGCACCTTCATCAGCTCCATAATGGTAGTTGTGAAAACTACCGTTGCCTGATTGGAAGTTGTACTGGGGTTGGTTGGGGAGGTCCGGTTGAACTTCTTCTTCATATGACGGGAAAGATTGATGATGGCCTTCACCTTGCTCTTGGTACTGAAAATAGGAATGAGGATCATGGTAACTTTGGTAGGGATGATCGCCATATAATTCACCTCCACCATGGATACCAGATGTTTGACCGTGTCCAGAATGACCTCCAACGCCAACGGCTGGCTCGGTGTAAACGAACATGTCGGCTTTGGCCAATTTGTTGGACCTCAAGAATTCGAGCATGGAATCTACTTCATCTTGAGTGGTTATGGTATATTCCTCATGCCACAATGACCCACTTTCTCTGTTTGGATATCGGTACACCATGCGATCTACTCTTCTCGTGCCATCCATGCAAGTAACGTTAGTGCATATTTGATGGAGGCCTTCAAGCTTCGGTCCGGTAGCGACCTTTATTTTCTGAAAATTGCCACCGACGTAGGTACCCCCCTTTCCGGTCTCTTCCGTGTAACCATTCCACCGTAAGCCAAGCGTGAACTGGCGGAATGCCATATGCACACACAAAAACCGTAGTTCAGTTAATATCATAAAAATCACAAATAACAATAAAAAGTAACACAAAATAAACTTACGAGTTAATGTTAATGGCAAAAACACTAAAGAAATATAGAGATACAACAGAAAAATGAAAAGAGAGAAGGAGAGGTGTGAAGAGTAGAGGTTTTCCGGGCAGTCTTATATAGGCAAAAAAATGAGGAAAACCGCACCTCTAAGGTGCGGTTTTGGTCTGCCATGCAGCCCTACGTCTATAATTCTGCATGGGTGATTGTCGGGTGTCGGAAAATAATTGACACACAGACCGCACTGGGGGGATGCGGTCTGTGTGGCTAAACCTCACCTTAAATAGGTGGTTTGGTTTTGGAGGAACAAATTGCATCTCTAAGGTGCAGTTTGTCTAAATCAGCCCAAAACCGCACCTCGGCCATGCGGTTTGTGTAGGGCAGACGTGAAGCCGCATGGCCAAGATGCGGTTTCGTCCCAGGAAAATGGACCGCACCCTACAGGTGCGGTTTAAATATAAAACGCACCTGGAGGATGCGGTTTATATGTAAAACGCACCTCAAGGGTGCGGTCCAAAAAAAAGTGCTAGTGTTGTAAATATTTTTTGAAGGGTGCTAATTTTGTAATTTTGTTTTTTAAAGGTGCTACACCGCCAAAAAACAAAATCCTAACATCGTCTACTTCTTCTTCTCCTTCGATTTTCTGAATTCTTCTAATCATTCACCAGAAACGATTGTTCCCATCCACTCATCTATGTTTCGTCTTCCTCAAACTCTTGATCTGCCTCTCTTACTCGATTTGAACTCTCATTCTCTCTTTCTTTATGGAGATGACGAGGGTGGGGGTTAGTCGCCGCCGGTGATGACGGCGGTGAAAGAGGATAGCAACTCAATTGAGAAGCCCGCCCACCGTTTGACCACGAAGCCCATCTCGAGCGCTGCATATTATCTGAGAAAACCCTGCAGCACTAAACCCTTTCCCATCCTATTTCTCCGCTCTCTCCAGCATCGTCAGTCCACTGTCACTGGAACTCCGGTGTGAATCCGATAGACGGATATGAAGCTTCGCTTCTCCCGGAATCTGTTGCCTCAGAATCATGGCCGCAAATATGATTTCTCTTCTAGGGTTTTAGCGTCATTCTTCTCCACTGAACCAGAGCAGCCACCACCACCACCTCCTCCTCCACTATATAAAAGAATTGAGAGAGTTAGAGATCCTAAAACCTCCGTAATTCCGGTGCTCGATCAATGGGTAAGAGAAGGAAATCCTGTCGGAGAACTCCGATTTCTTGTTGCGCGTCTGAAGAGTTACAAGCGCTTCCACCATGCTTTGCAGGTCCAACCCCTCTTCTACTCTTTTCATTTTCTTCATCACCAGTGCGTTCATTTCCTTTCCATTAGAAGTCTCCTTCTCTGTTTAGGATCGAGGTTTTTTTTTTTTCTGTCGTCCCCAAAAGGCAAATTGATTTGATTGCTTATACCATTTGGGCATCTTGGTGCTAAAGCTTTAATCTTTAAACCTTGAAGATCGAATCTATGATGGTTCCCCATTTTATTTGGATGCTTGATTCTACCCTTTTCTTTCTTAGTGCTGTAATTGCAACTTTACAGAGATAATTTGTGCTCTACAGTGTTGTTGTGTGTGGCTTCTTGTGGATTTTGCCGACTCTTTTGTTTTGTTTGATGTTATATTCAGATATCGAGCTGGATGTCTGCTCGTTGCATTGTGCCCTTGTCATCCAAAGATGCTGCAACTAGGCTGGAATTAGTCTACAGAGTTCATGGACTAGCTGATGCAGAAAATTACTTCAACAACCTATCAAAGGAAGTTAAGTGGAGAAATGTATACGGTGCACTTCTCTATATCTATGTACAAGAAAAATGTGTTGAGAAAGCGGAAGCAGTTGTGCAGGAAATGAAAGACAAAAGTATAGGCTACGGTTCTTTTCCTTTCAACCTGCTCATCAACCTTTACTATCAGGTTGGAGATTTTCATAAACTCGACCCTTTACTCGAACAGATGCAGAAAGAGGGGATTCCCCATGATCAGTACACAAGAAACAACCTAATTTCTGCCTTTTCTGCTGCATCTAACTTACCCCGGATGGAAGAAATCATCAATCAGGTAGAGGAGAATCCTCATGACTCAGGTGGTGTCTCTTGGGATGCTTTTACAACAGCAGCAAGCGGGTATTTAAATGTCGGGTTGACAGACAAGGCCTTGGCAATGTTGAAAAAAGCAGAGGAAAAGATGCCCAATCACCGGAGGGCCACTGCTGTGGAGTTTCTTCTTACTCTATACACTAAGTCTGGTGATAAAGGTGAGGTTTATCGAGTTTGGAATGCATATAAGCCAACACGTAAACAATTTGCTATTCGCTACGCCTGCATAAGTATTTGTCTGTCAAAGCTTAATGATCTCGAGGGAGCAGAAAGCATCCATGAAGAGTGTGAGTCTAAGTGCAGTGTATATGACTTCCGTGTACTGAATAAGCTACTGGTAGCTTACTGCGAAAGAGGGCTCATGGAGAAGGGTGAGTCTGTTTTGGAGAAGGCAGCAGAACGAAGAGCGTCTTTCGCAAGTTCATGGCATATATTGGCTATTGGATACGTGAATCATGGTTTGATGGGGAAGGCTGTTGAAATGCTGAAAAGGGCATTGTCGGTTGGTAGAAGATCCTGGAGACCAAGTCCGCCAATCTTGGATTCCTGTTTCGAGTACTTGGAGAAACAGGGAGATGTCAGCGGAATGGAGGAACTAGCGCAATTGTTGAAGGACGAGGGACCTCTTTCCCGTGATTTATATCGAAGATTTGTTAGGACTTATGTTGCAGCTGAAAAACCTCTAGACGATGATGAAGAGAATATGACTATGAGTGGAACTGTCGCTTGATGAAGGAATGGTTCATCAATTTTTCCCCCTCATTATTTTGTTCTGTTAGCAGAGGGGAATGATTATGAACTCGATAGGAGATTAACTTATTTAGTGTTTTTTTCTGGGCTAAGAGTTTGATCTTTGCCTGACGAAATGATCAGCTGGCTAATAACCATTTGGGATTGACCACTTAAGCCAAGGAAGGACACACCTAGCAGGGGTCCGGATTCTATCAGTAACCAACCTATCAGTAACGGTCAGTAATCGTTGATCCGACCGTCCATCGCGCCATCTTCCCAGCCGTCAGATCATGCCAATTAAATACACGCGGGGGCAAAAACGTAATCACGTCTCTGACAATTTGAATTGCAGACGTGATAGCGACAACCGTCCCGCCTTCTCTCCTTCTTCCTCTCACCTTTCAAGCGACAGTTCCACTTCCCTCTCTGCTCTCTAACTCTCCATTCTTCCTCCCGATTCTCAATTCTCTCACCAAAATCGCACCAAAAACTTCCAGAAAAAACTTCAAATTGAACGATTTTCGCAAAGGTTTTCGAAGAATCATTCAACGATACACTGTTCTCGCTTCTTCGTCGGAAAACGAAGAGTTTCCAACTTCAACGAGACTCAAAAATCGTTTTTGCACAAAATATCAAGGTAAAACCTCACTTCTTTCTTCGAAATCCATCCACAGAACAATAGAACAGTATCGCAGTCACTCTCCATGCGTTGCTGAACTGATGTAGAATCTGTTGTGTTTTGCTTTATTACCATATGGTAATGTGTGGTAAATTAAGATTGCATGTTCTAAAATAACAAAAAACCATAAGTCCTGCAGTGTTTTGCTTCGTTACCATATGATAATGTGTGGTAACAAAAAACCATAAGTCCTGCTGTGTTTTAGTTTGTTACCATATGGTAATGTGTGGTAAACTATGATTGCATGTTGTAAAATAGCAAAAAACCATAAGTCCTGCTGTGTTTTGCTTCGTTACCATATGGTTATGTGTGGTAAGCTATGAATGCATGTTGTAAAATAGCAAAAAACCATAAGTCCTGCTGTGTTTTAGTTTGTTACCATGTGGTAATGTGTGGTAAATTATGATTGCATGTTGTAAAATAGCAAAAAACCATAAGTCCTGCTGTGTTTTAGTTTGTTACGATATGGTAATGTGTGGTAAATTATGATTGCATGTTGTAAAATAGCAAAAAACCATAAGTCCTGCTGTGTTTTCCTTCGTTAACATATGGTAATGTGTGGTAAACTATGGTTTCATGTTGTAAAATAGCAAAAAACCATAAGTCCTGCTGTGTTTTAGTTTGTTACCATATGGTAATGTGTGGTAAACTATGGTTTCATGTTGTAAAATAGCAAAAAAATCACAAGTCCTGCTGTGTTTTAGTTTATTACCATATGGTAAAGTGTGGTAAGCTATGGTTTCATCTTGTAAAATAGCAAAAAACCATAAGTCCTGCTGTGTTTTAGTTTGTTACCATATGGTAATGTGTGGTAAACTATGGTTTCATGTTGTAAAATAGCAAAAAACCATAAGTCCTGCTGTGTTTTAGTTTGTTACCATATGGTAATGTGTGGTAAGCTATGGTTTCATGCTATAAAAATGGAGGAAAACATACGTCCTGTTGTGTTTTACTTCGTTACCATATGGTAATATGTTATAAGACATGGTTTGATGTAATTACCATATGGTAAAATGAGATAAATATATGGTTTGATTTGGTATGGTAGGAAACCATTATGGTACCATATGGTATATTATGGTAAAAAGCACGCTAACAGACTATTCCTAATTTCTACATTCAGGTACACTATGGTAAACCAAAGAAAAACTTTTCGCACAAGGTGCAGCCGAACAAGAATATCTGCAATTGCGAGGACTATAAAAGATGAGCAGAAACATAAACTTGAGATATTAGGCCTAGCAGGCTTAATATCAATCAAGCAGACAAAGATAAACAACCATTTTGCACTGTTCGTAATGAACAAATACAATCCAATCAAACAATCGTTCAAGCTACCTGACGGGACACACATGAAGATATCACCAATTGACTTCCATAGGGTATATGGTCTGCCAATGGGGAAAAGGGAAGTTGTACCTCCCACGATTTCTTGGGACGACGCAGCAGATTATGCAATAGAAACCCTACTGGAAGTAGATGGATCATCCACTCCAAGGGTAAAGCTAAGTCAGGTAGAAAAAGATCTTCCTACAACTACAAACAGTAAGAGATGGTTACAATTGTTCTTTCTGCTGGTCACCGGAGGCTTGCTGTGCCCAACTTCAGCCCCTATGGCTGAACTCAACATGCTTGAGTACTTGAAGACTGATGAACTGAAACATTTCACCAGCTACAACTGGTGCAAATACTTCTTCAACCACATGAATGAAGGATTGCAATCACCAAAGCTCTACGTCAGTGCAGATCTTCACTTCCTTACAGTAAGTCTCCATTCCCTTGGCCATTTCAACCTTGTTACTCATATATTTTATATATAAATGATACTCTTTGAAAAAACTAATACAACTATCTGCATAAAAAGGTATGCTTCATGTACAAACTGGACGAAATGGCATTCTCAACCCAGCTTCGAACACCAACAGTAAGCTACTATGATGATAACAATGTTGATAGCAACTTTGAGAACATTAAGAGCTACTACACTGGAAAAGAGTTGAACGAGATCGAAAAGGTTGCCAACATTAGTGACGATGAGGCTGATGATGCAGCTGATGAGGAAGAGGAGAATGAGCCAGTCTATGAATCACCGAAAAGACAAAGAAACAAAAGTCCAGACCAGTCATCATCACTGAACTTTGATTTGAAGAATATCAGAACAGTCAACCAAGTAAGTACAAATTATCTATATTACAGTTGTCCAATTCATGCTAAGCGTAAGTCCTTCTGTGTTTTAGTTTGTTACCATATGGTAAGGTGTGGTAAGCTATGGTTTCATGTTATAAAAATGGAGCAAAACATAAGTCCTGTTGTGGTTTACTTCTTTACCATATGGTAATGTGTGGTAAGCAATGGTTTCATGTTACAAAAATGGAGGAAACCATAATTCTTGTTCTGTTTTACTTTGTTACCATATGGTAATGTGTGGTAAGCTATGCTTTCATGTTTTAAAAATAGCAAAAAACAACAAGTCCTGCTGTGTTTTAGTTTGTTACCATATGGTAAGGTGTGGTAAGCTATGGTTTCATGTTATAAAAATGGAGGAAAACATAAGTCATGTTGTGTTTTACTACGTTACCATATGGTAATGTGTGGTAAGCAATGGTTTCATGTTATAAAAATGGAGGAAACCATAATTCTTGTTCTGTTTTACTTTGTTACCATATGGTAAGGTGTGGTAAGATATAGTTTCATGTTATAAAAATGCAGAATAGTGATAATAATTGCCAATACCATGTATTACCACCATGGTAACTAACCATACACCATACACACATTACCACCATGGTATCTTACAAAAACTCCCATTATGCAGGCTGAGAATGCAATCAAACTGCTTGAAGCATCAATGAAGGCAATGATGAAAGCAATCAAAGACCAATACAAAAGCCAAATTGACAATCTGATCAGACACAAGGAGAATCTTGCGAAAGAAAGCTGTGATGAAAATGTTCAGCCAACACAAGGAGAAAAATTTCAGTGTGAAGATGATGAAGAAGAGAATGATGAAGAAATCAATGCCAGTTTGAATAAAACACTCAATGAAATATTCAAACAGACAAAGATAGACCAGAACGAAGAGGAGAACGAGGAGCAAACACAGAAAGAAGATGATTCACAACCATCTACAGTCGATCTTGCTGCATCTACACCGAAGGCAAAAGAAAAGGAGCAAGATGATTCTGATCCAGGAGCTGTGAATAGGGAAAGCATCCCAAAAGAAGGAGGTCCATTGGGGGAAGTTGCAACAGAACCACCAGAACAATCTGTTCAAGAAGGTCTGAATCAGGGAACACCACAACAAGAGGACACCCCAAAAGCAGTTCCAGAACAGACATCTGCAAAAGAAACAGGAGAAAAAGGAGCTACCAAAACAGCAGATCCAATGGAAGTTGATAAGGAAACAACAGAAGAAGGGAATACAGGGCAAGCTGCGCAAAAGACTGCAGAAACTGACAGCGAGAAAACGGTGTCAGATGATGTTGTTCGAGAAGAGGCTCCAAAACTGGCAACCGAAGCTGCTGAGAAGCCTAAAGTGACAAGGGAAGACGACATTCCATCCTTTGATCTCAGCCCTCTCAACCGTCAAACACCAACAACACCAACGAAGTTGACCACCAACACGGCAACCGATCAACCAGGAGAGCCTCGCAAAAGAAGAATCGTGGTGAAGAATGTGCACGAAAATGAAAAGAAGGCAAGAGCAACACCACCACCAGCACAGCCACAAAGCACCCAGTCACAGACGGAGTCATATGCTATATGGTCAAATCTGTACACAAACAGCCAAGAGAAGCTCAAGGAAGTCCGTGAATGCATAGATGCTTACCTAGAGGACCTGAATTCTCCAGCTGTCGAACCATTTGCTCCACAGTCACAAAAATCACCAGTTGAATGGTCAACACCAACACAAACAACACCTGATGATATGTTCAGCAACATCTTGGAGTACATAAGATGCAAAAACAAGAAATTTGTCAAGAGGTAAGTCATCATCTTAAAACTTCTACTGTTATATGATTTTACTGTAGTGATCTAGTTTGTTACCATATGGTAAAATATGGTAAGATATGGTAAAATGAGATAAATCTATGGTTTAATGTTACAAAATGTAGTAATGCACAAGTCCTGTTTTGTTTTAGTTTAATACCATATGGTATGATGTGGTAATCTAAGGTTTGTTGTTAAAGAATGGATTAAACCATAACTCCTGTTCTATTTTACTTATTACCATATGGTAAGATGTGGTAAGCTGGTGTGTTTTACTTATTACCATATGGTAAGATGTGGTAAGCTATGGTTTTGTTGTGGTAACCTATTGTTTGATGTGATAAATTAAAGTAAACCATCCGTCCTGTTGTGATGTGCTTTTATACAGTGATGAGATAATGTTTAAAAGGAAGGATGGAACATTCTTGCTGAAAAGGGAGTCAGTACAGTTGATTGACATTGGCTGTGAAATCACATCTGATGTCGTCGACTGGTATGGAGATGTAATGAACAGGAATGAAGCAAAAAAAGA